CCGATTCATCCAACAACAGGAGCTAATCGGATCAAGTATCAAGTAAGTATCACACAAAACTTGAGAAATGCGAGTGAAGACGGCCCCGAGACGAACCCACCGGGAATGGAAGCCGGCTTACCAGCACCCTCCACCATGGTGACGCAGTGGAAGACCAACTGCCGTCAAACTACGCAAGCATCCACACGCGGGCAGAGGCATCGAACGAGAGAGAGGGAAAAAATCGATGAGCGCAAGGCCGACAAGTTCAGCCAGACCTTCATTGCCTATCCTCTTTCTAATCCCCACAAACCCTATAACCACCCTTGCCGTGGGATAAAATGCTGGGACTAGGAATGTAGGAGGTGCACTACATAAACTACTGTTGCCCTCAAATCGATAGGGCTTTTCATTTACTTCTACAAATTTTCTTCCCTGCCTAGCCTATTTTCCCACCCCCAAAAAACCCTATAACCACCGTTACCGTAGGACTAGGAATTTATTAGGTGCACTACATAAACTGCTGTTGCCTAAATCTTTCGTTTGCATGGGTCATGTGAGGTCCTACCTGAAGATGCTGGGAGAGGACAACAAAGTCCTTCTGGGTTTTCTCTGTGTCCGCCAAATCGGTCCGCAGGGTGTTGACTTTGTGCCGCAGGTGAACGAGCTCCTCATTGGCACGTGTCAGGGCTGCCTCCAGTTCCTGAACCCTTGCCTGTTGTGGTAGGAGGGGAGAAACAAGAGTGTCAATAAAGCGTGCAGTCACGCGACTGTGAAAACAACAAGAAGCAATAGAAAGGGAGAAATCGCGTCGAATTCGAACTGGCGGCCGGCCCCGAAGGGCGTCGGACCTAAACGAAAGATAAACCAAACCAAGCCCAGGGTCTCCTCAAAAAAGTCCGTAACGATGACTTATATAGACTCCCTCAATGAGACAGGGAAATAGGAAGGTCCCGCCCGAGGTGAACCTGCGACTATTTCTCATGTTGTTACTATAACTACAGTTCGAGGTAAATTTGCCGAGGTACAATACCTTCGACGGGTGTTCAGGGAAAATGGCTACCGGGGGTTGCGCAAACGAGGTGGCCAACAAAGCCGCACCGACCACAAAATTTGGCGAGCAACCCCGTACGTCAAAAACGTCTCGGAGGATGTCGGCCGCTTTTACGCACCACTTAGAGTTGGAGTCGCACACAGGCTGGAGGCAACCATAAGGTGTCAGATAATGAAACCGAAATACCCACTGTCACGACAATAAACAGCTGGAGTCGACTACAGGATCTGGTGCAGTTGCAGGCAAAGCAACTATGTCGGATAAACTGGCAGACTTTTCAAGACGCGAATTGCCGAACACGCGGCAGCAGTGCG